ATTAGACAATAAAAAGAAGTAAAAGGCATCTAAGTCAAAAGGAAGAAATTAAATTGTCCCTGTTTGCATCTGTTGCATTTCTGTACACTAACAGTGAACTATTTGAAAAAGAAGAAAATAATCCTATTTGCAATATCATTCAAAAGTAAAATACTTAAAAATAAATTTAACCAAACAGGTGAAAGATCTGTACACTGCAAACTAAAAGACATTGATATAAGGAACTGAAAAGGATGCAAGTAACTGGAAAGATATCCTGGGTTTGTGGATTGGAAAAATTACTATTGTCCATATTGCCCAAAGTGATCTACAGATTCAGTGCAATCCCTGTCAAAATTTCAATGAGATTTTACACAGAAATAGATCAAACAATCCTTAAATTTATATAGAACCACGAAAGATCCCAAGTAGCCAAAGAACCTTGAGAAAGAAGAACAAAGCTGGAGGCATCACGCTTCCTGGTTTCAGACTATATTACAAAGCTATAGTAATCAAAACTACATGGTACCTCAATTTTTTTAAATGTTACAAAAATAAGAATAAAAAAGCGAGCATGGTACTGATATAAAAACAGACACATTGACCTGTGAAAAGAATAGAGCCCAGAAATCCATGTATATGTAGTCAATTAATATTTGAAAATGATGCCAAGAATATACAATGAGTAAAGGACAATGTCTTTAAGAAATGGTCCTGGGAAAATAGTATGTACACATAGGAAAGAATGAGCCTCGATCCTGACCTTACACCATACACAAAAATTTACTCAATTTGGATTAAAGATTTAAATATAAGACTTGAAATCATAAAACTCCTAGAAGAAAACATAGGGGAAAAGTTCCTCAACATTGGTCTCAGCAATGATTTTTTGGCTACGACAACAAAAGCAAAAACAAACAAGTGCTAAAAAAATAAACTAAACTAAAACGCTTCTCTCTACAGCAAAGGAAACAATCAACAAAATTAAAAGGCAACCCATGGAATGGGAAAACATGTTTGCAAACCATATATCTAAAAAGAGGTTACTATCCAAAGTGTATAAAGGAACTCGTATGACTCAACAGCTTCCCACTGCTAGTTATCAGGGAAATGCAAATCAAAACCACAAGGAGATACCACCTCACACCCGCTGGAATGGTTACCATCAAAAAGACAAGAGATAATCTAAGTGCTGGCAAGCATTCAGAGAAAAGGAAATCTTTGTGCATTGTTGGCGGAAAAGTAAATTGGTACAACTGTAACAGGAAATAGCATCATGGTCCCTCAGAAATTCAAGACAGAACTACCATGATCCAGCAATCCCGTTTCGGCACATATATGCAAAGGAAATGAAATCACTATGTCAGAGATATTTCTACTCCCATGTTCAGTGCAGCACTATTCACCTTAGCCAAGACATGAAAACAAGCTCAGTGACGGATTAATAAAGAAACTGTTTATATAATAAATATTTAATAACGAAAAGTGGTGTGTGTGTGTGTATAAATGAGAGAGAGTAAGATAAATATTGTATGATCTTACTGATATGTACAATCTAGAAAAGTTCAACTCATTAGGACCAAAGAGCAGAATGATGATTGCCAGCGCCTGGAGGGGTGGGGGGAAATGCGAAGATGTTGGCCAAAGGGTACAAACTTTCAGCCATAAAATTATTAAATTCTGAGGATCTAAAGTACAACATCGTGAGTACGCTGTATACATGAAATCTGCTGAGAGTAGATCTTAAATGTTTTCACCAAACACACACACAGAACAAAAAGTGATATGAGGTGATGAATGC